GAGTCGTCAGTAAGTACTACAGTACTTACTATGTTTTGGAGCTAAAGAGCGCATCGTTCCCTCAGAAGTTAGTTGCCAAAGAAACATTCGAGTTGATGAGGCTGAGAGTTGGAGCCTTTGGGATGGGGCTTTAAAGAGAACAGAGTTTGAGCTGAAATGTGAAGCCCTGCCTGTTCCCTCTAAATCACCTCTAATCCAGGTTGACATCTTTAAACTTCTTTATATATACAAATAAACAACCAAAACTACCATTTGAAAAGCAGGCAGCGTCAAAGTGAATTTACAAGGCAAAACAAAAGTTTGACCGACTAACTAAGCTTATATTTCTAGTCCGCATGCATGCACATCACAAAGGATGTTCAAACACAAACAAGTCACTACCTCATGAGGGTTAAATCATCCGAACAACACATATACAGCTTCCACTGCAAATTATTTAGGAGTTAGCTTATTAACAAAGAAAAACAGAACGCTTCGATTTTAAACCCATAGCTTGTTTTTCTGATTTCTCATCGATTTTATTTCAAACTTAATTCAAAGAATGAATGTTTTCTCTTATTTAAGTGCTCCAGTCGTGGACGTTTCAGGGACTTTTAAACTACAAAACCCCAAACGCCCTTTTAGAAGTGCTTAATGGCTCAGAGCGCTCTGAGCCTTATTTTTGGGGCTTTTTGTTACGTTTTTCCACAACAAAAATGAGAAGTATTGACTGTGTTTGAACATCAACTTAAATAACCTCAAAATTGTTTGCGAGAGTGTTCACAATCAAGCATTGTTAAATACTGATAATAAACTAAAGTTCCTCTAGATTTCTTGAAACGGAGGATTTTCACATTTCGGAGGAGTGAAAGGAGCAGACGAGCTGCTTTCAAAACATTTCTAGAATGGGTAACGTTTGACGCATACAAGGGGCTCAAACTGTGTGTGTGTACATGTGTGCTCTATGTGTGTGTACATGTGTATCGAGCTGATTTCCTGAGTAGAAGAACACCCATCATGATGGAAAGTATTCATTAGGCAGGACAGGAAACAGCAAAGCAAAACGTTCCCTAAGCAAAAGACGCCTGATATGACCCCCAGTAGAAAAGAAAGATCTAACCTGGACTAAAACCACCGTTACAGTCATCATGCTCCGTACTATATACACATCTGCCATACAAGCACTTGGATATCACTGGTACAACATCGAAATACAATGGTATTGCTAATGAGTGGGAAATAAAAAGCTCATCTAACCAGCTGCAAAAGCCCGTTTCTCTCTCCGATCAGTTCAGTTCAGTTCAGTTCAGTTCAGTTCAGTTCAGTTCAGTGCTGTGGAAGGCAAAGGAGGAATGTTTTCAGTTACAGCATGTACAAAGTTATCCTGTACACAAATACAAATGTGACACTCGCAGACATTTTTTTTTTTTGCATATGAACATTATACAGTCTCACTGCATCGTAACTCTTTCACACACAGAAGCTGTTTTCTCTTTTTTGTTTGTTTGTTTGTTTATAAATTAGGTTGAACATTCAGAGGATATTTATTCTTCCTGAGTTTGAATTGCTGTGACGAAAAGGGCCACTGAGATTTATTCACAGAAGAAACAGAAAAAGAGACGGAACGAGACAGAAAGAGGTAGAGGAGACGACGAGCCTGTCCACACTACTCCAGATAGTTTTGTTTTTAAACAGATACTTTTGTTCTCCTTTAATGTTTTTTCTTTTTCACCTACATGACTTTAATAAAAATTCTGCAATACCCATGCCTCTCCACTAGGTGGCGAGAATGTCCATAATAACGATTAATCAAAACCCAGGAAAGGAACGCCATTATCTCATTGATTATAATAAAATTTAGACATCGACCAGAACGTTAAAATTGAAACCTGACTGAGACCAGCTTCCCTGACGACTGGTTCTAGTCCAAGATTTAAGTCCCACCCACTCCACGTAAACAAACGAGACAGTAAGCAAAACATTTTAAAATGACATCTCAGATTAGTTTATCAGATTCACGTAATTCTTTCTTTGCTGTTCTACTTGTTTTTTCTAAATTGTTTAGCAGTAATTGTTAACAGAAGTCATGTGACACCATGATGGTGTGCGCTCCTTTAAACCCCCACACTGCGAGTGCACAGACTCTGGTTCCCAAAATACACGACAGCAGCGCCCGTAAAACAGGACCTCAAGGCTCCAGATGGACAAACAATACGTCTTCAATACTTTTACAGTTTATGAGTGGGGTTAACTAAAAATTCTCTCAAAACTCTTTTTTTTCTTTGCTACTGTTTCCTCTTAGTTATTATCGGTTCAGCACAATCCGAGTTTGGTGATGCAAAAAACAGAATAAAGCAAATAGACAAAATGGAACAAATATAAAAAAGGTAAAAACAGCTCCATTGTTGTTTGGGTTTCGGTGAGCACACAGTGAGAGTGGGTGTGAGTGAAACAGGCTGCTACGTCATCGTGTGAGAAGCTCCTTTTTTCTTGACCACATAAATTTACCAAGGACAGGTTCTTAAAAATGTCATTTTTAGGAAGTTTGTGTTTAGACGAGAACGGCAAACGCAGCAAAAATAATAAAAAAAAAATCTCAGTTTGTAAAACTATCTGGAGTCCTGTAGTAGGTTTAAGAGACTGTTTTCACACAAAGGTCTGAGAACTTCTGTAGAACGAGTCCGATACTCTTTGTTCTCACAATTAGAAATACTCCAGAGTGGCATCTGTGCCGAATGTAGAGAAGAAGAACCTGTTGGAAAAATATGCTACATCAATTAGCTAATACTTTTTATAATAATAAGTTTATAGAAATCATCAATTTGGATGCATCATCAACACAGAAAGCAAAATATAGAAAAAAAATAAATAAGTGATTAGGTAGTCGGTTGGGTAATCTACTGAAGAAGTTCAGAGTTAAGGCAGTATTTCACTGAGCAGCGACTGTTGGACTAGTTCACGACGAGCCTTGGCTCTTCAAGATGTCTCAAAATGTTCACATGGGTTAGACATTTTCACAAGTCACAGACTAAAATAACGTGTTCAGCTGCTTTTCTCCCTCAATAATCTGAGTGTGGTGGTTGTTTCAAACCTGTCTCAACCAGGACCCATGTACAGGTCCGAGAACAGAGTTTAGAGTCGTGAGATTGATTCCAGAAAAAATAAAACACATTAAAAATTATTGTAAAAAATACCTTCTTGCCACAATTGTCACAGAAGGTAAAACTTGTAAAAAGTAAATAAAGGTAGGTCTACTGGCCTTCTTATGGGTACTAATGTGCATGCTGGAGGTCAGGATTTGACAATGTGTCGTGGTCTAAAGAGATTCGTGCCCATGTCGGGTTCTAATCAACTTTTGTCATTTGTGTATATTTGTGTTATATTTGTCCAGCAATCACTGTGCGAGGGCAGGGTACACCCTGGACAGGTCTCCAGTCCATCACAGGGACACAGAGACAAACGAGACAAGCAACCATTCAATCTCTCTCTCACCTAGGGACAATTTAGTTACCAATCAGCCTAACATGCATGTTTTTGGTCTATGGGAGGAAACTGGATAAAACCCACGCATGCACGAAGAGAACATACAAACTCCACCCAGAAAAGCCTGTGGACCTGGATTTGAACCAGGGACCTGCTCGCTGAGAGGCATCAGCTCTACCAGTTGCGCCACCGTGCTGCCCCAAGCAGAATCTTAAATAGTAAAAATCTATGCAGGAAATTATCTAAAGAGATTCTAAAAGTAACAAAACTGTAGCGAAAATCACCACCCCATGCACCTTTCCCACATCTTGCTGGGGACATGATGTGGGGGGCACAGATAGGTGATTTGGGGGGATGTTTGTGTGGGGGGGTCCACACACCTTGATGTGTGTGGTACTGTCCCAACATCAAGCCCCCCAGCATGCCTTAAGAGGGGCATATTGTGTGGGGTTTGTGTAAATGCCCCTCCAACGACCCACACCCACCTGCTCCAGTTTGTCTTGTGTCTCTGAGCCAAACTATGCTGAGAGTCAACGCTGGATCATTTGCACTGAGCCTAAGTCTCTATATTTTTGAAACGTTGGAAGAGTTAAACCATAATTCTGTGACCATAAATCAAAAAACAATCATCTCCTTAATGGGCTGAAAACGTTCAAATTTGAACGACTGCATTGGGACCAAATATGCACTAAGTAGTTTTGTGGCAAAAAAGAAGACAGAACTAAATGGTAAATGGACTGTACTTAAATAAAGCACCTTTCTATCTTATCAACACACTCAAATCTCTTTACAACACGATCTGTGCCTCATCTACCCATTCATACAGCACTCTACTAGATCTCTACAAAGATAATTGAACAAATCATTCTAAAGAGACTAACCAGTGCTACTGGTAAGTACATTTTTAAAAGGGCTGCACAAAATACAGCTCCAACAGAAAATTCACCTTTTCTTCTTATTTTTTTTACAAATTTCTTGCCAACTAGTCTCCAACAGTTGCATCCCTGTGAGATACTCCCTTTAACGCTGCAGACGTCTGTATTCTCACTTACAGTACTCTTATAGAGCAGGATGAGACATGTCAGGGCTGCAGTGGATGTGTGAAAACAACTGAAGGTACAGAGTGGAAAAAAAGAGAAGAAAGGAAGTCAGGGACAGAGACGTAGTTTGTACACCAGGAGACAAGAGAGCTGCTGTTTAGGTCCAGTGAGGTTTAACTTTGAGTTGTGACACACAACAACTGAGTCTCCATTGTAGAGGTCACTGCTGGGGGGAGTATAGCACCATTGGAGGGTTTGGTGAGAGGTTCCCACTCTGTCATGGTAAGAGGAGAACGCCTGTAGAACAGTATTGCTGCTATTAAGACAACATTAGTGTCAACCATTCAAACAAAATCGAACTAAAAGAGTAAAAAAAAGCACAAAAAGACGTAAAAACAAAGCTTGTTTCTGAGTGAACACTGGCAGAGGCTGAACGTCTCACAACCCAGAGGAAGGGTTTGTCAGAAGAGTCAAATTAAATAATACAAAAACATTCAACACAAACAGAAACCAAACCACCTCTACTTGGTACAGTCCTTCCTCGGCTGCTCGTCAGTTGTACATTTGTCTGTCATTTCCTGGCAAAAGTCCACCGTTACCGTCTGGTTGGAGGTTTCCACAGACAGCTCCGATGCTGTGTACAAGCTGGTGTCCTGACCATCTGTAACTTTGTCAGCCCCGTTTCTGACTGTGGAGTTAGGCTGGTTCTCAGAGGAACCGGGTGACCTGTGGAAGATGGGTTCTGGAGTGGCTGAGCCAGAGTGGGTGGTGAGGTCAATGCTGCTGGTGGCAGGGGTGCTGAGGGTGGGTCTCGACTCATTGGCAGTGGAGTTGGCTGGCCGCAGAACGGGGCAGTAATGGTGAAGGGACTGGACCTGCTCTGGACTCAGATGGACATCCCGGCACACCTCCTGAGACAGGCAGGAGAAGTTCTCCCACAGCTCGCCCATACAGGCCTTCAGCTGGTTCCTCTCAGTCAGCAACTTCTCTTTCTCACAGACCTGCAAACACACAAGTTTGTATTTGTTTCCTTATTAGGATAGTCCATGGACCTCCATTCATTTCTCAACTGAGCTCAACCGTAAGATGGAAGCGATTTATGAGAATTGTAAACCACTTGCGGCTTCTGGGAATCGCCAGCATGTTGGGGACGACCTAGAAGGAAGCTAATAAGCACGGACCAGTGGAAAGCCCACAAATCTGGCCATTTTGGATCATCAAAAGTACCAGCAGAACTCAAGGCTGACAAGAAACAACGGTCTGCCTGCATAAAATAACAACTGTGGCTTATCTGAATCTGACTCCCCTGTTTGAACTTGAAGCAGGCCAACTTATCAAGTTTCTCCTGGGATATGTGTAAACTAAGAAGGCTCTGCTCTATCCATCCCCCGCACAACCCTCTCCCCGAGAACTTCTGTGAACACGCTTATCAGAGCTGTAATGGCTGACACCAACATCTTATCCGGACTATGGTGCTATCTGGAAGTGCTTCGTGGACAAATCTCACCGTCTTGTCGTCAAATGCAGATGTGATGTGTTTTTAAATGTGCTTGCTGGTAGAGTTTTTTGATGTCTTAAACCATGTCCTGATAAGGATAAGGTGTGAAGAGAACTTCTTTGTAATAACACTATCCTTTCCTCATGGCCTTTCCCTCTTTTCTATTTAAAGAATAAGGGGCCGCGCTCTTAGGATCAGCAGCCACGTGCACTCCGCCATCTTTCGGACGACTGTACGGACATAATCTCGCTGTACTTCGGTGCAATGATAAAAAAGCTTATTCTGATTCCTGTAGTCTAACCCTGACCGTGGTGGTATCTCACGGGGCTGTGACTGCTGATGACTAGTTGGTGAGTCTAAACTGTGAAGAAATGTGAACATTTTCTATTGCTGTCTGGCAAATTGTTAAGTGTTTGCATCCTAACGGCCTGTGAGCTGTGTGACTGAATTTGGACCGGTCAGTGCACCAAAAGACAGCTGTAATACTCTTAACATGACATGGGTTGGAAACACTCATGACAAGTCTGTGGCTATCATGAGACAGAAGACATTTTGAACATGTTCAAAACTCAAGCAACAAGACTTCACGCCTCACGTGAGGATTTTGAGAAACACCACATGTCAGATGTTCTGGAGACTCCCTCATGTTGTTCACAAACTTGTTGCAGCTGAGCAACCTTTACTCTACACATTACCGGTACATGCCTAACCTAAACTTAATTCATACCATAGCCCTATACACAATACTACAGGTGCATCTACAAAATTAGTCTATCATGAAAAAGTTCAATTTTGTCTGAAAATCACTTCAGAAAATAAAACTCGTTTTTCACACACAGAGTGAAATATTTAATTTCTTGTCATTTTGATGATAATGGTTCACAAACAGGGCGGCACGGTGGCGCAACTGGTAGAGCTGCTGCCTCTCAGCGAGCAGGTCTCTGGTTCAAATCCCGGTCCAGGGGGCCTTTCTGGGTGGAGTTTGCATGTTTTCTCAGTGCATGCGTGGGTTTTCTCCAGGTACTCCGGTTTCCTCCCACAGACCAAAGACTTGCATGTTAGACTGATTGGTAACTCTAAAAAATTGTCCCTAGGTGTGAGTGAGAGAGTGAATGGTTGTTTGTCTCATTTGTCTCTGTGTCCCTGTGATGGACTGGAGACCTGTCCAGGGTGTCCCCCGCCTCTCACACAGTGACTGCTGGATATGGACACCCAAAAAGGAAGAAGTGGGTAAAGTTCATGGACGGATGGAAAAAACATAGTTCAGTGTGTCAGAAAATGAGAATATTCCACGTTTATCAGTGGGAGCAGGAACCAAGTCCTGCTGTAAAATGAAACCAGCATCTCCATGAAGCTCATCAGCAGAAGGAATCATGAAGAGCTCTAAAATATTCTGGTAGATGCTGCGTGGACTGTGGAGAAAACACAGTGGACCAGAACCAGCAGAGGTCATGGACCCAAACCATCACTGACTGTGGAAACTTCACTCTGGACTTCAACAACGTGGATTCTGGACCTCTCCACTCTTCCTCCAGACTCTGGGATCTTGATTTATAAATTACATGAACATTTACTTTCATGTGAAAAGAAGACATTGGACAATGAGAGACAGTCCAGTTCTTTTTGTCCTCAGCAGGTAAGATGCTTCTGACGTTGTCTCTGGTTCAGGAGTGGCTGGACTTGAGGAATGAGACATTTGTAGCTCATGTCGAGGAGATCATCATCTGATCAGGGTGAGACACCAGGAGTTTACAATATTCAACCTCTTATCTGTAAACATGATCATCAAAATGACAAGAAATAAAGGCTTGAGATATTTCACTCTGTGTAATCTTTGAGTTTCACTTTCTGAAACGACTGACATAAATAAAATAAAAATAAAATGAATTTTTGTCAGAACATTTACATTTTTGAGATGCACCTGTATAACCAGTGGTGCTCCGTCTTTTTAGGACCAGGCTTTGATCCCCACAAGGAGTACTTGTCCATAAAAACAAGTGATTATACCAGAAAAAGTCCTAAAAGCATAACAAAAACCAGGTAACCCCCCCCCCCACACACACACACACACACACACATACAGACCCTCATATTTAAGAAAACAAACTAATACTTATATACCGTATACTGTATATATACAGTATACGGTGTATATATACACCGTATACTGTAGATACATTTAGTAAATTTTCCGTACATAAATTTAATCTTAACAAAAAATAAAAGAGGTCAAAGACTATCCACTTGATAATTCAAGATATACAGTTCTGGTTTTATGTGTCTTGTGTAGTTGACACAATGGTTTAGTTTCCGTGGTCATGTTTCTGTCAAAATAAAGATCTTCCCGTCTTCATACATCTGTTTCACTGCGTTATAACTTGATTTCTTTAGCCTTTTTCTGTGACGTCAATAGTCTGAGAGAAGCCACGAGGCCAGGGCCCAGGCGGTCCATCACTTCACCTTTTGTGCTACTACTGGCCAACTAATATGGAAGCTGTGAATAGTCTGTTTTGATGCAGAGGATACATTTGAAGGACATTTTTGAAGGTTATGAAGGAAAATTTGCTCAACCCGTAGAATTGAAAGTTTTACTCCCCTCCCTTATCGACTTCTAGTTACATCAGAAATGTGGCAGTGGCTGCCTGACTCTAATTCTGGGTTAAATTCTGACACCACTTTGAAAAGATTTGTATTTTAATTATTTTAGCTGATTTTCAACATTGTGAAGTAATCCACCCTCCCTGTCTAAAGAACATTTGTTAGATGCCTTTAAGCCTGACACTGTGTCCATAGCTCGGGCTCCTCCTAGATTTGGAGGTGTTTTTATTGTTCTGTTCGGACATGGAGGTATGTTGGACTGTGTCTGAGCTCCATGTTTGATCAAGAGTAGCTCCCTCACCAGTTTCCTGATCTCACACTCCAGGTTCAGGATGCAGTCCAGCTTCCTCTTGCGGCAGCGCTGCGCTGCAATGCGGTTTTTACTCCGCCGCCTTATGTCATGGATGAACTCGAGCTGCTCTGAGGTCAGTTTGTGCATTTTCACCAACATCTGGAAGTCGTTGCGTGGAAGATTTGTGATTTGATCAATTGGGAACGGAAGCTTCACCTGGAAATGACAGAAAACACCAAATATTATGTACACAACAGATAACTTGGATCCTGTATTTGAGTGAATTGATGCAGTATTTTTAATATTTTATGTTCATTATCACCCACCGTCAAAAGGCGTAGCAGTCATGTATGTGTTCACGTGTCTGTTAGCAAAATATCTCATGAACAACACAACAGATTTTAATAAAACCCTCAAAGGAATGATTGTGTGTACATCTTCAACTGATTAACTTTTGAAGTGAATCAAATTTAAACAGTGTAGGAACTGTGCACAGTTTTCAGATCATGCAAACTCATATTCACGCAACCCTTTTTGGTATATACACAAATCATACAACAAAATGTAGGTATTTGTCTTCTTTTACTGCTGTAGGACTTTTGGTTTTCTCTCAAATCTTAGAAAGTAGAGAGTGCACACGCACACGTAAGCAGTCAGTAAAATTTTATCTCTTCCAAACTGAACACGAAGGCTCACAATCTCTCCTACCTCAAATTCTGTAAAGCAAACATTCACACACATTACCATCAGTCTTTTGCCGCCCACAGTTCAACAACTTTTTTAAGATCCGACTTGTAGTTTTCACACAGCGACTATTGGTTGAGGCTTACTTTCCAGTCTGCAATCCTGTCCGCCTCTCATTAACTAGACAGTCAGCAAGTGATCATCATGAGCTGCTGTCAGCAGATTTAACATTTAGTTAACGTTAACAATGAATGGGGTCTTTTTTCTGAGCCTGGTTCAATGGTGTGTAGGAGTGATGGTGCAGAGGTTAGAGAAGGTGGGTCTGTGATCGGAAGGTTGCTGGTTCAACTCCCCAGACCGACAACATCAAAATGTGGGTGGGAAAGGTGAAACATCCGCACTTGCCTCTATCCTCATTTGCCCCACTCTGGGTCCTTGAGCAAGGCACTGAACCCCACCCTCTGCGCCCTAAATGGCAGCTCTCTGCTCCACACAGAGGGCTGTGGTAGCTCGATGGTCTGTGGTTGCGTCAGGAAGGGAATCCGGCATAAAAACAATTGCCAAGTCTGAGTATGAGTTAGTTTGTTGTGGCAACCTCTGAGGAAGGGAGCAGCCGAAAAAATAATAAAAAATAATATTTGGTCTCCATCCATTATATTTTACCCGTTTTTTTTTTTCTTTTTCGGGTCGTGGGGGGTCACTGGTGCCCATATCCATCTTAAGAAATGTTAACATCTTGTTTTACTTAAACTCTGGAAAGCAAAGTGATCCAATTGTAGATAAACAACAAAAATCCATAGTCTCTTTATTAGACAAAAGATATGAACTAAACTACGTATCGAACAGAAGAAAAAGTTAGGATACCCTGTCCCCAAACAGCAGGACTGACCCCCTTTGTCTGAAATAACTTCAGTGAGACACTTATTGTAGTGTCTACCAGTCTCTGGCACTGGTCTAAGAAAAGTTCGCCCCCCTCCTCAACACAGAAATGTCTCAGCTGTGAGACATTTAAGGGGTCTCTTGCATGTTCGGCCCGTGTCAAGTCCCCCCGCAGCATCTCAATGAGATTAAGGTTTGTGTTTGGTGTGGCTATTACAGGACTCTTAATTTCTTTGTTTTCAGCCAGTCCTTGTTGGACTTACTGGTCAGTTTTGGATCATTGTCATGTTGCAGGGTTCAGTTCTGCTTCAGCTTAATTTTTACAGATGATCTCGAGGCGTGTCATCAACGTGCACCGCAGCATGGCAGCACTGATGAGAACTCCACTTCGACTCGCACTGTTTTTGTTCATTGTTGTTTTTGTTTTGACGTTTTTCACCTGCACTGCACTCTGTTATGGGTATGACCACAACATACTTTTGGAGTTGCAATCGTCAGTGAGTGGGGACTTTGGGTCGACTTTTGGGGACTTTACAGTGGACATTTTCCCCTGGGTCCTTTGTTTACCTGGGCGTCGTAAAAGGAAAACACAGAGAGAGAAGTGAGCCGGTGTTTTGTGCAGGACCCGCCAGAGATGCAGCAAACCCCCTCTCCCCTCGGTCCTGCTTTCAGATGTTCAGTCTCTGAGGGGCAGACTGGATGACCTGCACGCACGGATTTATTGTGAGCGGGACACGAGGAACTGTTGTGTCTTTGCCTTTACGGAACCATGACTGGAGCCGTCCATACCGACTGTGCTGTGTCTCTGGACGACTCTCTGTCTACCGGCTCGACAGAACTGAGTCACATCTGTAACACCTGATGTGTTTGTTGCTGCTGCACGATGTGGCTGTGTCGTGTTGCTGCCTTGTCATCGTGGTTCAGTTCATCAGTGTTGTTCACTGCCTGTGCAGTGTCCTGTTGCACAACCTGTGTGGTGTATGTTGTGTGCATTTAATCAGTGTTGCTGCCTATGAGGCACTTGTTTGCACTGATTCATCCAACTTACACCGTTGTATTCCACCATGTTGTTCACTATATTTCTTTTGGACCTTGTAGATGTTTTATTTCTTTTTCACTTTTTGGTGCTTTGTTTTGTACTTTTGTTGCATGCTTTGGGTCTTCTTGTTTTTTATTTGGCGAGTCGAGACGGTTCGTCTCGTCCTGAGCATTTTCATTGCATTGTTGACCTTGTGTTGATTCTGCACATGACAAATAAACAATAATCAAATGTGTTCCTCAAGCACAATCTGATACACAGTAGAGCTTACAGTGGATTTGATGATGGTGAGCTGACCTGGTCCTGCTGCAGCAAAAAAATAAAAACCCAAACCATTACTCGACCACCTCCGTATTTTAAAGTAGGGATGAGGTTCTTTTCTTTGAATGCTGTATTTGGTTTACACCAATCATTCAATCTCTTACGGTGTCCAAATAATTCAACTTCAGACTCATCTGTCCAGTGGACATTATTGTAGAAGTTGTTTTTGTCCAGGTTCTCTCTCTGGTGAACTTCAGTCTGGCCTTTATGTTTTCCTCAGAGAGCAGCAGTTTCCTTCTTGCACACCTCCCATCAAGGTTAGTGCATAACGGGGCAGCGCATCTTAGAAGCTGCAGCTCCCTGTACACTTCTGTCCATCTTTAGGACGGCTGTACGGAAAGTAATTTTGTTGTACTTAACAGTGCAAGGACAATAAAACATTCTGATTCTGAAACGTTTACAGTCTCTTTGGGATTGGAGATGTGTGCACATTCACCTCCACAGTAGCAAGAGTCAAGTTTTTTTTGGGGTCTGCTCTTGGGGTGAACTCTCTTGGACAGCCAGGCCTGGGCGTGTTGTGAGTTGTTTTGAATGTCCTCCATTGGTTGACTGTTTAACCGGCAGTAGAACGACTGATTTTAGGCTGTTTGGAGATCTTTTTAAATCTCTTATAACACTCAGAAGCTGCTACAAGTTTGAGTTGGTTTGTCCTAATTTGTTCCACACCAAAAACTTCCTTTTCAAAGGTTATGTCTTACAAAGGGTTTTAAAGTGTCTTTTAATCACTTTGTTTAGTTACACGGAGTGAATCTTTCTGTATTGTTAACATTTATTTTTATTTTACATTCAAATATGCTACAAAACAAACTTTTCAAAGGTGTACTAATGACATATGGTCTCTTTGTTTCTTGGTGTTTTACCATATTTTGACCAAAAGATGGCAGCAGAGTTCAGCTCCGTCTGCTCCCACATGCAGCAGATAAAAAGCAGCTGCCTCCGTCTCCAGCAGGATGTGTGCACCTCTGACAGGCCTTAGGGGCAGTGAGTGGACTCTTCTCTACCTGGTTCAGATCAGTGGCAGGACATTTCTGTGAGTTTTAACAAATCCAGTGTTGAGCAGTAGTTCTTGTGATAAATAAAATAATTAATTGAATCTCAGGTCCACGTGTTTATTCTTCCTCTCCTCAACTGGAGAGCAACGCTGAGTAGCCCCCTCAGGTCATGGCAGATCTTCCAATAAGCACATAATCCATCCCCGGCTGTGTCTGCCTGCACCAGGGAGATGTGGCGTCAGGCAGCAGGGGAAGTCATGGAGGAACAAAGAGCCAGAGGATGACAGCCACAGAGCCTGGCACAGATCAGCCTTCTCCTTCCCTCCCTGAGTCTGACACCGACCGGGGGAGGGGGAGGGGGAGGGGGAGGGGGAGCCAGATGAAGGAGAAAGCTACACTCCATGCCTTCTCTGTACCTTCTCCTAAGGTGTTCCCCACAGGCGTGTCCGTGGCTCTACATAGTTCAGACTCATCAAATGAGGAGTCTGACTCAAAAGGATTTTCTGAAGAGTTCCTGGGAGAGAAAACAGGAGAGGACTTTCCTCCATCTTTCAGCTCAACATCTCTGTGAAGACGCACAGAAAATTAAAGGCCTAGCACTCTTGAAGGAACTCATATCACCTGCTGCCTTTCATGCCAGAGTTTTCTCACCAAGTTCCTCTTAGACTGAGAAATGACTAAGTTGTATGTGTTTCGATCTAACCTTGAAAGTAAGGCCAAGAGCTTGTGCTGGAACATGCGTGGAGTACGATGTGCTTCATGATAGCTCTGTGGGAATGTGCTTGTGTTCGTCTACTGCTTCGTACAGCTACGTGTTCGTTATCGGAACTTCTATGTCCTCAAGACAACTCCCAACAAATTGTTGGGACAAAAAATGAATCGGGCAGGGCTGGCAGAGGAGAGCTGTGTAGCTGCACTAAAACCTCTGGATGAAAAAGTGGCTCAGCAAAATTAAAATATTTCAGAACTAGAGAACGTGACAGAGCATTAGCGACCAGCTAACGATCACACAGGCTAAAAGGAGCGAGCTGTCTGTGGAGGTCGACACGTTGAGCAGAATATTGTTTCGTTGGTCTGCTGGAGGACTCAGATGATCCACAACCTACAGAGTTTACGGATGAATTTCTTAAAAACTTCTTGCGGCTCGAGGAGAAACTCGCCTTCTTAAACTGTTCAAAATGCTCCATTGTGTTGAAAACGGCATGAGAGACATTCATTCAACCTTTACTTATACAGCTTAGTCCAAGTTACATCAAAGTTCATGCTCAATAACCAACACAGTTCAGTCAGGTCCTCTGGAC